ATTAAATCCGTTGGGTTTTTTAAGGGGCCCGGAAGGGGGGACCTTCGATTTTCCCCCCTCCCCCCCTGGGAATGGATTAAATAGGATTTTTTGCCGATGGTAAAGGGAAAATGGGGAAACTTCTATTTATAAGTGAGGTTATATATACATATTTCATAATTTAATATCCCCATAAGGCCCCCGCCCAAAACTTAAAAATAACTTCTTTTTTTTCTGGGTAAAAAGGGGAACCCCCCCCCCCCCCCCCCAAAAAAAAAAAAAAAAAAAGAATTCTATGAAAAGTTCCCAACTTAATGGCAGCAACCTCTAACCAATAAGAAAAAGAAACCCTTAAAAGAACACAAGAGAGACAGAGAGAGCGCGAGGCAGATGGTATAAAACCTAGAAAATCAAGTGAAAGCTACGAAATAAATGAAAAAAGAAGTGAAACTCCACCCTTCTCCGATGTAACGATCCTCCAAGTGGGCGATCACTCCTCTGCATGAAACAGAGATCGATTTTGGAACCCTGTATCGCTCTGTTGCTGAGCACGTTGGGGCACAGGGCAGTCAACGGAGTTGGCTTTGTGCGCGCCAGCACATAGAACACATGTGGGATTTTTACGATCCAACTGGCTATGGCTCGAGCCATCATGGGAACCTCCGCCGTAAACACAGCACCGTGATTCTTCACCATCAAATTCCGTGTGGCTATACCGCCAGCAGGCAGAGCATTGAATGAGCCCCGTAGGGTTGTTGTATCGGAAGTAGTCGAATCGTTCCACGGTTGATGGGGTTACTTGGTGGTGAATCCCCGAACTTATGGCATTATTGGCGTGAACTGCGCTATAAGAGCTGATAACAAGTGACGCTGTCCCGTTTTCTTCTGTTTCTGGGAGCCACTGGATGGTATGAATGTAAGGAAGGTTGGTGTTTGGAAACATCTGTCTATTGGAGTCCAATAAATCACGGATGATTTTGTCGGCAAGGTCGCTATTTTGAAATAAATTATGGTATGGGAACCTGGGGACAATGACATCGTAAGTTCGTACGATCACGGAGGCCGTTTCGCCAAATCGGCGAGACCAGATAAGCCGCTTCTTTGCCATGATACCTCTGAAGTCACTGGTGGCAAAGTATAAGCGAACGTTTCGGTTGATCATCTGCTGTAGACCAGAAACGACGGCCATCTTGGGGTCTATTATTTTGTCGATCCAGCCCAGGCAATCGTTTAGGTGTTGACGAAATTCGGGAAAAGAAGCCCTCATGAGCTAAGGACGAAGGGATCTACGTCCTTCATAATCAAAGTCCAAGGGGTATATTTATGTCATCTCCTTGCTGTGATGCAGTTCCTCGCTGTGACGCAGAAAGGTGGAGCGACTATGTGTGACGGCTTCGTGGTGGGTGTTGGCGTACCCAACGGTATATCTGGTGGAGTCTGGTAAAGAGCTCCCAGGATGTCACTGGAAGGCCGTGACTGAGAGCGTCGTGTGTGGGAACGATATCGGCGCAGCAGCGGGGATTCTCCAAGCAAAGGAGATTCCACTTTATGGTATACATATTCCTCTTCGATGTCCGAATCCACATTCCCATCGCTGATACCCGCGGTTGCCTGTTCCTTTGTGTAATTTGCCGGCTCCACGGTGTCCGAATCAATCTGAATAACTTCGGGGGTGGTCTGCGTACCTCTGACAAGGGAACGGATATTCCTTTTGGTTTAGGAGGAGAGCCTGAAGGAGAACGGAGTAGCTTATTTTGAGAGTTATTGTCTTCGGGGCGGACTGGCGTGGAGGTAGGTGTCATAGGTAAAGGCATTGCAGAACCAATAGGCTTTCTTGGCCAGCTCAACACAGCTCTCAAGAAAAGGTATCAGGATTGAAAAGGGGACAAGACTTTGTTCTTTCAATGCCTGAAGTTGAGCTGCTTCTTTGCCCAACTGTGCTGCATGTTGCTCTATCGTGTACTCGGGAAGTTGAACACCTATTTCCGGCCATGTCGTCTGCTCCGCGTCCTCGGAGACTGGAACACCCGCAGTATATGAGACCTTCCCAGTGGGGTGAGTGCAGGTGAAAGTGAATTGATAGGTAGGGTGTGTATTATCCATGTTTTCGAGAACATGAAGGAGGCGCCCAATGGTGAGAACAGAGGGAAAAGAAATAGTAGAGGGAAGCAACCCTATTTATGTGCTACGACAAGGGAAAACCACGTCGACACCATGTCTTGGGATTAAATTGAAACGCGACACGAGATTTCAATTTAACAGAAAGCTTCGGCAGAGCTCGAATACCCTTATGACACCAGAACAGAAATCACGAACCTCGTCGCGCCAGAGCTAAAAGATCTATCATTGGTGCATCGCCGTCTGAATCCCGAGTTGCCAAAGCTCCGCCTGAACTAACTATTGAAACAGTGGGTTAGACAAATTGAATTGACACAGCGGAACACGCGAGCCGGCCACGCCTTGGGCTGCATCGTCGATTGCCAACAGATCGAACGAACCCTTTAGGGTGAGCATTCATGCATTTGACATAAAGAGTTAACCACTTATTATTATTATTATTATTATTCTTCAATTATAGATGTATGCAGTCAGAGACTATGACATCTACCTGAGAACTTTTAGTTCTCAGGGTTTTTTCTATATTTATAAAGTCAACTATTAGTTATACATTTACCAATTTCAGATATGTAAAATCAGAAAATTCCAGCCCAGAATACAAAAACTGTTTATAAATTGCAGTATTTTAACATCTTCTGATACTTTGAAATCATTTGATAATATCATGACAAAAGAAAAGAGAACATAGTCTTAAAGATAGATATATTAAATAGATAGATAGAAAAGAATAGAAAAGAAAAAGTAAAGAGAGACTATAATAAAATAAATTATTAAAAAATAGTGTATAGCTGTTTTAACAGACTATATCTGATCAATTTTCTCCTCTTCATATTCAGATATTTCTGAATTTAGTCATTGTATTATTATTATTATTATTATTATTCTTCAATTATAGATGTATATAGTCAGAGACTATAACATTTATCTGAGAACTTTTAATTTTCAGAGTTTTTCCTATATCAATAAAGACAATCATTATACATTTATTAATTTCAGATATATAAAATCAGAAAATTTCAGCTCAGAATATAAAAACTGTTTATAAATTACAGTATTTTAACATCTTCTGATACTTTGAAATTATTTAATAATATTATGACAAAAGAAAAGAGAATATACTCTTAAAGATAGATATATTAAATAAATAGATAGAAAAGAATAGAAAGAAAAAAATAAAGTAAAGAGAGACTATAATAAAATAAATTATTAAAAGATAGTATATAGCTATTTTAATAAATTATATCTGATTAATTTTCTTCTCTTTATATTCAGATATTTGTGAACTTAGTTATTTTCTTATAGCTGCTTAAGTTTCTGATAGAAAGTCTATTAAGTATTTAATTTCTATCTCAGTTGAGAATAAAAATCTTATATTTAATTAATTTAAATTATACTTCTCTTTTAATCTGACTCTGAGATTATTATATAATATATAGTATATTATAATATACTCAGAATTTTCATTTATATTGTAGAATAAGTATTCTATTAAATAAAATCTATTATTAAATCTTTATATATAAGATTTAAAATAATTATATTCTAGTTTCAGCTGAATTATAGATAAGAATATTTTCTTTTTATATTTAATTAAATAAGATTTTCACTTAAGTTTTATTTTAAATCTTGAATAATGTATACTCTTCTTTTATTTCTATCAGCTTTTATTTTACTTATTTAAATAAGATTCTTTTATCTTTCTTTTTATAAAAGATCAGAATACTATTTTTGAAATAGATCTGTTTAATTCTAAACTATTTTTTACAGCTGAATCAGTCAATTCATTGTTATAAATATATATATAAGTAGAAACTTAGTATAGATAAATTATCAGTTTTAATATTCTTCTCTTTTGAATTTTTAAAATAGAGTTTAAAATCAGTTTAAGATTGATTTAATTATTATAAATCTGACTATTTCTAAGTCTTTTAAAAGCAGCTTAACTATTAGAGAATATTTATATCTCTTTTAAACTATTTTCTCTTTGATAAGATTTTATTTCAATGAGTTTGAAAGCTTTCACTATTATAAATAGTTCAGTATCAAAGACTTTAAATTCATAGTTTAAATTTCAGAAATCTGAGATAAAATTAATATTATCTTCAGTATAAGTAATATCTGTATCTAATCTATTTAAATTCTCATTTTTTAAGTCATCTGAATAGATTAGAATAGAGTCTTTTATATTAATTATAGAAATTCTCTTTAAATACTGTTCATATTCTCTCTCTTTAAATAGTTCACTAATTTATAAGTCTATGAGAGATTTAAGCTTTTCTCTTCAGAGAGATATCTTCTTATAATCAACTTTTTCAATATTTAATAAAGAAAATTAATTTTTAATTAGTGAGTATAGTCTGTATAGTTAAGAGAGTATTTTCTTTAAAGAATTATTTTCATTTTAATCATGAAATCTATTTCAATTCAGTTTATTTTTAGAGTGAATTAATAAAAATGAAGAAGAGACTCTTTCTCTGATTATATAATTTAAGCTTATCTTTATAACTCTCAGAGTATAGTTTATATAAGTCATTTCAAATCTAA